GGGGCGGTTTCGGCAGGATGCTGCTGTCTGTTGAAAACATTCCCAGCTGGTGGCATCACAGTGCACAGGCCCGCGTGGGCAGCTGCGTCTGGAATATGCTGTCGAGAGGCGTCCAGACCTAGGAGTCTGGGCCTTCCAGAGTACAGGTCCGGCCTCCATTCTGGGTAGTGGGGAGACTGAAGTCCGAGCAACTGGGGACAGGTGGCAGCTTGAGCTGAGGCCCCTTAAGGCCCGCCGTGGTCTGGGCCCTGAGCACCCTTCCACCTTTGTCTCTGCTTCCTCTCTCCCAAACACTGCTTCAATTCCAACTTTCCACACAGTTATTCCTGCCTCTCAGGCCTTTGCACTCACTTTGATTGCTGCCTGGAGCACAGTTACACCACGTGTGCCTATTCTCATCCTTCACATACCAGTCGATCCCAGAGAAGACGCTCCCTCCTCTGACCTCAGTTTCCCCAACTGAACGATAAGGTGAGGCATGCCTTCCAGGTCTGATTCTAAGGTTCTGGCCCAGCTTACTCCTGAGTGGGATCTCCCTGGAGACCAGGGCTGAGATGCTCCAGGCTCCAGGGATTATTTCATTCCACTTGTCATCAAATCAACTTAGTTAGAGGTGAGTCTGCGCTCTCCACCCCACTCCGTCCCTGGACTTTGGAACTAGTGGGTAAACTGAGGCCAGAAAGAGTGAATGAGGGAAATGTCCAGGAAACACAATGACCCAGCTGACCGTTGGTTCTGCGGCTCTGAGTCAGACGGATGTGGGCCTTCATTCCAGTCTCTCTGACATTCGTGCTGTGTGTCTTTGGGGAACCTGATTGACCTCTCTGAACCTCAGCTTCCTCCACAATAAACCGGAGATAGTAATAGTTCCCTCCCCAGAGCTATCTTTGGATCAATGAAGATTGCGGATAGGAATCTCTAAATTGCAGAACGCCGTCCTAATTATTTGGCGACTATTCCTTCAACAACAACAACAACAAAACCCAGGTTCCGGGTCCTCCCAAAGATGGCTTAGATTCTCGCAGTGTTGCCCAAGCAACGGCTCTGTTCCGCCCCGCCTCGACAGGGAACAGCCAATCAGCGGGCGCCACCGGCGCATGCCCCCCGCCTCCGGCGCCCCGCTGCCCCCTGGGAATTGTGGTTCCGCCCGCGCTCTCCAGGCTCGTGGTCCCTTCGCGGCCGCCGTAGGCGATAGGACTACAACTCCCGGCGGGCGCGGGCGGCGCAGGGGCGTTGCGGCGGCGCGGTGGTTCCGCGTGCTGGCGGCATGTCAGCTGCACGCTGGGGCCGCGGCGTGGCGGGGTTCGGGAGGGCCCTGTGGCCGGCGGGACCCCCCGGCCTCCTGGCCGGGGAAGGTAATGAAGGGGAGTCCCGGAACCGCTGCCCTGCACCCCCCCACCCGCGGCCGTGACCTTTGGCTTCTTGACCCTCGGGATCCAGCTCCCTCCGACCCTTGCCCTTTGCTCTTGGGAGTTCTGGGGAACCCACTGACTCGACCTCGCTTTCACTCGCCCTTGGCCCACTCTCCGGACGGGGGTCGGCGGGGCACTTTGATCTTCGACCCTTGATTTCTTTTGGAGCCCCGTGACCCACTGTTTACGGTTTAGGGTTTTTAACCTTTGAATTGTCTGTGCCTTAGTTCGACGAAACTTTTATCTTCCACCCCACGCCCGTTTTCTTTTTTCCTTTGCCCGTGGTGTCCCCTTCACTTTTGTCCTGTTAGTTTCTTTCCAGTGTGAGACCGGTGACCACTGACAGTTCCCACTGCCTTTAGGGTTCCTTTGCCCCGGATCCTGGATTCCTGACCCTCCCTGTCAGGGCCCTCCCTCCCCCACCCCTGATGCCCGCCTCCTTCAGCCTCCTTGGTCTCTCCTGCAGGGGCCCTTGGTGGCGTCTGGGGCCGTAAGAGGAGCTCGACTGCCAGCCCTTGTGAGCAGGACCGCCGGAAGGACTGGGGCCATGCCGAGCTGCTGGAGGGTGAGCCTGACCCCCGAGGTTTGGGGCCTGAAGCCCCTTCCTCGCTGTCCCCCCGTCGGCAGCGCTGCTGAGAGCCGCCTCCCTGGTTCCCCACAGGGACCCCGGTGAGAAGGGATGTCAGTCTGTAAGGTGGGGTAACTCATGGGGTCCCGCTCTCTGGTGGTCCGAGGGCCCCCACGGTGAAGCGAGTGCTGTACACGGCGAGCTCTTGTAGTTCCCTCGTCCTAGGAAGCAGGGGCTCCCCCTTTCCAGATGAGGCAGTCCCCTTTCCAGATGAGGCAGTCGACGCCCAGATCTGTGGCTGGAGAGACTGGCTCAAGGCCACTCACCGCTGCACGTGCAGAGCTGGGCTTTGAGCTGTGACATGACCAAGCTCAGTGGTCCTGGCTCAGCTTCCTGGGCTTGGGCGCATGATGGGGTCTAGTCGTGGTTATTGTCACCTGGGACGGACAGCCAGGTCCTGGCGGCCTCTGTAGCAAGTGGGGGGGGGGCATCTGTCCTTCTCGCCACCTCACTGTCCTCTCCCTCCCAGATGTCCAGTGCCTCTTGCTTCCCCTCCTGCCCCTCGTCCAGTGTGTGTCCAGCAGCCAGGAGTGGGGTGGGGAAGGCTTTGAAAAACAACACCTAATTTCAGAAAACCCCAAACACGCAGATGTGAAGCCACAGGTCCCATGCGTTTCAAGTGCAACCTTCTTTCGTTTCTCACCCATCTCATTGTTTTAAAGCTAAGCCCAGGGTCTGGAAATCTGAATCACTTCACCTCACTCCCCAGCCTTGAACCGTCCAACTGTTTCCTCTCTCACAGAATAATCTCCAGACCCCCACTGAGGGCCATAGACCTTCGGGCCTTTGCCTACCTCCTCGGCTTCTGGCATCAGGAGCTTTGCACCTGCTTGTCCCGGGTCACCCTCCAGGTGGCTTGGATGCGGCCGCCTCCGAGGGAAACCTGTGCCCACATCCTGCTTCTGCCTCGTGTCCTGCCCGACGCTTTGCCGCCGGACACTCCCACACGTGCAGGGAGGGTCTGCTGAGTCTCTGGTCACTGAGGCTAGGGCCGCGCCTGTGTTTCTGCTCTGGGCCAGCTCTCTCTGGGGCCGATGTTGTAGTGAGAAAGGCGCAGGCAGGAGATGGATACCCTTGATCCTCACGTTCGCGGATTCTGTGTTTGCAAAGTCTTCTACCAGCCGAACTTGTAACCCCAAAGCCGATGCACACCTTCCCAGCTGAGGTGGAGCCGGGTGACGCCCTGTCAACAGGCGTCCTTTTCAGGGTGTATCTGGTGCCACGTTTTTGCATTTTGTGCTGTTCGTTGGTGTTTCTGCAGTTTAAAATGGCCACAGGCCTGGTGCTGGGGTGCTGGGGTGCTGTCTAGTTTCCTCAGCTCAAGGGGGCTGTGACGTGCCTTTTGTAGAAAATCTGCATGTTGGACAAGCTTTGTTGAGGGGTAAGTTGTAGAAGTGTTGGCTGTGAGTTCAATGTTAGTGAATCAGCGATACATAGGAAATAAGATATCTCAGATGAGAACTCACAAAACAGTGTTATGTGTGGACCTGTTGGTGGAAATATGACCACGGGCTCTCAGGAGCCCCGTGTTTGCCTGGGAGTGGTGGTTCCCTGTTCACCAGCTCAGTGGCCTGAAACTCTGTAGAACAGAACTGCCCCAGGTCCTGAGAGCTGACTGTCCGTGAAGTGGCACAGGGCAGCGGCGGGCTGTGAATTGTCTGTGTGTGGGGTGGGGGGTGGGGTGGGCGGGTAATGGCACGTGCAAAGGCCCTGAGGCCATTACGGATGGAGTGGGGGCGGGAGGGGCAGGGAGGCGCCAGCACCCGGGTGGATTTTGAAGGTGGAGCCCTGAGGAGGCGCTCAGGGGCTGCATGTAGAGGGGGAGAGTCGCAGACGACCTGTGACTTTTGGTCAGGCTGGGAAGGACAGAGCTGGTGGGGGTGGGGGTGGGAGAAGACGCAGAGAGGCAGGTTGTGGGCAACACCGGGAGCCTGTTCAGGACGTTGGGTTCGAGTGGCTCGGGTGGATGGGTGCTGGTTGGGTGGGCAGGGCGTGCGTGGCCGACGAGGTAAGTCTAGGGACATTGGCGGTGGTCAGCAGACACACGGGGCTGAGGCCTCTCGCCTCCTGGGCAGCGGGGTCCCCTGACATCTCGCCCTCTGCCCCACAGTGCTCAAGGCGCGGGTGCGGCAGCTGCAGGCCGAGGGCGTGGCAGAGGTGCCGGTGAAGAGGGTGGCCAAGAGGGTGGCCGTGGCTCGAGCCCCGGAGGCTGGCGGCGCCCAGCCACCCAGGCAGGCCCAGGCCGGGGCCAAGGGGGCCGCCGCCACGCTCAGCAGCCGCTGGGCGCAGAAACTGGACAGCGATCAGCGGCTGATGGAGAAGCGCAAGCAGCGGCTGGAGGGGAAGATGCAGAAGCGTGTGGAGAAGGGCGCCTGGCAAAAGCAGCTGCGCCTGGAGCCCCGGCTGCTGAGCAGGAGGCTGGCGAGCCAGCTGCAGCACTGGGAGCAGGGGGCGCCCCGGAGCCCGTGGGAGGAGCAGCTGGCACAGCTGCTGCAGGAGGCCCCACACAGGCTGAGCAGCGAGGCAGCGGCGGCTCCGGCGGACAGAGGCCCCGAGTCGCGGCTGGAGGGCCAGCAGCAGAGGCTCCTGTCCTTCTTTGAGTGCTGCCTGCTCACGGGCCACCTGCCCCTGGCCCATCACATGCTGGTCACCCACCACAGCAAGTCCCCGCAGCAGCGCCTGCTCACGCTCTCCATGTACAACATGGTCATGCTCGGCTGGGCTCGCCAGGTGAGTGGCTGGGCCCAGGGAGCGAGTGCCCCGGGGTCGGAGGCAGAAGCCAACTTGGGGGCACTTAGATTCGAACCCTTGTCTTTTAGCCCCAGGGATCAGGCCTTTGTCTTTTATTGTTTTAATAATTCTTTAGGCTTGTCGATTATGAGTCACACGGGGCCTTCAAAGCAAAGTGTGAAAATGACCAAAAGGGCAGGAAGAAGCTGTGCTCTGGTTCCGAGTATTTCCTTCTGGTTACTTGACCGCGGCTCTGGTGCGAGGGGCGCTGCAGACCCTCCTTGGGGCTGCGACCTCAGTGCTTTCCATCTAGCTTGTTCTTGTCTCGAGTTTCCTACGTGGGATCCTTCTTTGTGATGCAGACATTCACAGCTGTGAATTTCCCTCTGGGAACGGCTTTAGCTGCTTCCCTCTCCCACGTCTTCTGTTTTCACCAGCGATTTCTCCTCTGACCTGTGGCTGCTTAGGAGTGTTGCTTAAGTGCCCTTGTGGTGAAAACTTCCCCAACACCCTCCCTCCCGTGGGTCTGCGACCTCATTTGAGGAGCAGCAGGGAAAGCGTTAGTGCCGGGCAAACAAGGGAAACAGCTGTGTGAAGACACAGGTGCAACTCGCTAAGGCAGGATGGCGGCAGGGACTTCGCTGTGCTGACTCACGCACAGAACGCGGCCCAGAGCTGCCTGATAGCGCTGGGAGGCTCCCAGGGGCTCCACAGCGACAGTCACAGGGGGCTTCTTGCCTGCATTGTCTTTGCAGGAGGGCACTCAGTTCCAGGAGTTAGTCTGCCTTGCCAGGTCTCTGGCCTCCACCGTCCCCCCCACAAAGCGTCCTGTTACGGCAGCATATTTCTGATTAGATGAGCTTCCTGGGGTTGCCGAACAAATGAACACAAACTGGGAGGCTTAAAGTAGCAGAAATGTGTTTTCTTGTAGTCCCAGTGGCCAGACGCCTGAGGTCGGGGCGTGGCAGGGCCGCACTCCCTCTGGAGGCCCCAGGGAAGGGTGCTTCGCGCCTCTGCCAGCTCCTGGGTCTGCGATGTCCCTTGGGCTGTGACCGCGTCCCTCTCGTCTCTGCCTCAGTGGTCACACGGCCTCCTCCAGTGTGACCTCATCCTAACTGCACCCTGTACCTGCAGGGACCCGGTTTCCAAATAAGGCCCTTTTCTGAGGTTCCAGGTGGATGTGTTTTGGGGGCCCCAGGCAGCCAGCCTATGTCGGGCAGGCCTGGCTGCCACCCAGACCTGAGTTTAGTCCCGTTCTGCCACATGCTCCCCGTGGCCACACCCCTCCTTTCCCTCTGAGCCTTGGGTTTCCCATCTTGGGAGGAGTGAGGGCTGTAATCCAGGGCTCCAACCCCATGTGAGTGTGTGTTTAACACCGTGCAGGTTCGAATGCATGTTTTCATGGTGGTGGTGACATTACTGTGTTTGTTTTTCTTTTTTTTTTTTTAATAAAAGTTGTTTCCACTTTTTATTTATTTATTTGGTTGCCTCAGGTCTTAGTTGTGGCTTGCGGGATCTAGAGCGCAGGCTCAGTAGTTGTGGCGCATGGGCTTAGTTGCTCCGCGGCACGTGGGATCCTCCCGGACCAGGGCTCGAACCCGTGTCCCCTGTGTTGGCAGAAGGATCCTTAACCACTGCACCACCAGGGAAGCCCTCCTATTGTGAGTGTTTAGAGGTAGGATAGATGGGCTGAATTTGGACCAGCAGCATCTGGTAGGCCTTTCTGTGACTTTGCCAGTGTTCCTCACCTGCTCCAGCCTCCTGTCCCTGCTGAAGCGAGTATTTAATTTAAACTAAGCTAAGTGGCCGCCGTGGTTGGTGACCACCGGACTGAGCAGCCCCCCTTTCCCCCCACCCCCACCCCGGGCCGTGCAGACAAGCATCTAGGACCCAGTTGCTGGCATGTGGTCTGGGGTGGCAGCAGCTGTCAGGGTGCAGGACACATGGTGGGGTGCTGGGAATGCCTCTCCCTGGAAGGGTGTGCGGCATCTCTCCTGAGCCACCAGTGGGCTGGAGGACAAACGGCAGGGGAGGTTGGCGGAGAGGCCTGCGTGGAGGAAGGAGGCCCGGTCGCCGGGAGACTGGGTAGAGGACCGGGCGGGCAGCAGGGAGCGCCGTGGGCCCAGCTGGGGCCTCCCTCCGCCCACACCGCCCCCCGCAGGCCCTCACCCCGCTTGGTTCCCCCAGGGCTCCTTCAAAGAGCTGACCTACGTGTTCTTCATGCTGAAAGATGCTGGCCTCGCCCCGGACCTGCGGTCCTATGCGGCTGCCCTGCAGTGCATGGGGCGCCTGGACCAGGATGCTGGCACCATCCGAAGGTGGGTGGGTCGCTGTGGGGTGGCCTGGCTGAGCTGGGGGCTGGGATCCCTGGGGCTCCCCAGGCACTGGCGCCGTGAGCCGGCTGTGTGTGCCCTGCAGGTGCCTGAAGCAGATGGCGCAGGACGGGCTACAGCTGCAGGGGCTCTTCACAGCTGTGCCGCTGAGCGCCGAGGAGCGGGCTGAGCTCCTGCGGGCCGTGCGCAAGGCCAAGCCCGCCTTCACCCCCCCGCAGCCGCCTGTGCCCCCGCCCCAGGTCAACACCTCACCGCTGCTCCGGGAGATCTATGCCAAGGTGAGCTGGGGCCTGTGGCCTGGCACCTGCCGGGGGCGGGGGGCGCGGGGGTTGTCGTCTCCGAGCACGTCGGCCCCTCCCCATCTCTCCTGGTGGGGTCGGCCCCACCCACCCCCATGCTGGCGGGAGGGAGGCTGCTGTGGGGGGCCCATGCCGCACCGTCCTCGGTTTCCACGTGGCGATGCAGCCGTGGGCCGAGCGTCGGGGTGTCGCAGGGCCTGTGTGCCCTCCCTAAGACTGGACAGCTAACTCCGCAGGCAGGCGGCAGGCAGCGGGTGAGGCCACACCCACCTCCCAGGGTGGAGTAGAGCATGACACCTTGAGGAACTGGGTTTTTTCTTTTTACTGGGACGTAATTCTCCTATTCTACAGTTCACCTTTTAAAGTGTAATTCAGTATATATATATATATATTTTTTAGTATATTGATCTCTACGTAATTCCAGAATATTCCATTATCCCAAAAGGAAGCCCGTCCCCATCAGCAGTCAGTCCCCAATCCCCCCCCAGCCACCGCCCTTCCTCACCTGCTCCAGCCTCCTGTCCCTGCTGAAGCGAGTATTTAATTTAAACTAAGCTAAGTGGCCGCCGTGGTTGGTGACCACCGGACTGAGCAGCCCCCCTTTCCCCCCACCCCCACCCCGGGCCGTGCAGACAAGCATCTAGGACCCAGTTGCTGGCATGTGGTCTGGGGTGGCAGCAGCTGTCAGGGTGCAGGACACATGGTGGGGTGCTGGGAATGCCTCTCCCTGGAAGGGTGTGCGGCATCTCTCCTGAGCCACCAGTGGGCTGGAGGACAAACGGCAGGGGAGGTTGGCGGAGAGGCCTGCGTGGAGGAAGGAGGCCCGGTCGCCGGGAGACTGGGTAGAGGACCGGGCGGGCAGCAGGGAGCGCCGTGGGCCCAGCTGGGGCCTCCCTCCGCCCACACCGCCCCCCGCAGGCCCTCACCCCGCTTGGTTCCCCCAGGGCTCCTTCAAAGAGCTGACCTACGTGTTCTTCATGCTGAAAGATGCTGGCCTCGCCCCGGACCTGCGGTCCTATGCGGCTGCCCTGCAGTGCATGGGGCGCCTGGACCAGGATGCTGGCACCATCCGAAGGTGGGTGGGTCGCTGTGGGGTGGCCTGGCTGAGCTGGGGGCTGGGATCCCTGGGGCTCCCCAGGCACTGGCGCCGTGAGCCGGCTGTGTGTGCCCTGCAGGTGCCTGAAGCAGATGGCGCAGGACGGGCTACAGCTGCAGGGGCTCTTCACAGCTGTGCCGCTGAGCGCCGAGGAGCGGGCTGAGCTCCTGCGGGCCGTGCGCAAGGCCAAGCCCGCCTTCACCCCCCCGCAGCCGCCTGTGCCCCCGCCCCAGGTCAACACCTCACCGCTGCTCCGGGAGATCTATGCCAAGGTGAGCTGGGGCCTGTGGCCTGGCACCTGCCGGGGGCGGGGGGCGCGGGGGTTGTCGTCTCCGAGCACGTCGGCCCCTCCCCATCTCTCCTGGTGGGGTCGGCCCCACCCACCCCCATGCTGGCGGGAGGGAGGCTGCTGTGGGGGGCCCATGCCGCACCGTCCTCGGTTTCCACGTGGCGATGCAGCCGTGGGCCGAGCGTCGGGGTGTCGCAGGGCCTGTGTGCCCTCCCTAAGACTGGACAGCTAACTCCGCAGGCAGGCGGCAGGCAGCGGGTGAGGCCACACCCACCTCCCAGGGTGGAGTAGAGCATGACACCTTGAGGAACTGGGTTTTTTCTTTTTACTGGGACGTAATTCTCCTATTCTACAGTTCACCTTTTAAAGTGTAATTCAGTATATATATATATATATTTTTTAGTATATTGATCTCTACGTAATTCCAGAATATTCCATTATCCCAAAAGGAAGCCCGTCCCCATCAGCAGTCAGTCCCCAATCCCCCCCCAGCCACCGCCCGCCCCCGCCCCCACCGCCAGCCCCTGACAACCACGCAGCCACTAACTCTCTGTCCGTGGATAGGCCTGTTCTGGACATTTCCCATCAATGGAATCACACAGTGTGTGTCCTTCTGTGTCTGGCTTCTCTCACTGAGCATTGTGTTCTCAGGGTCCATCCACGCTGTAGCGAGTGTCAGGGCTTTCACCCCTTCTCAGGGTTGAGTGATGTTCCCGTGTGTGGAGGGACCACGTTGTGTTTATGTATCATCTGTTGATGGACACTTTGGTCGTTTCTAGTTTTTAAGCATCGTGAGCCGTGCTGCTGTGGCTGTGGACAGGTCTTTGTGTAGATGTATGTTTTGGATTCTCAGTGTGTGGGGTTTTGCTATTTTTAATTTATCTATTTTTGGAAGGGTCACATGTTCACACAGTTGCAAGTTTAAAGAGAAAACAGCAGCATCCGGGGACTTGCGCTGTCTTCCTGGGCATCCTGCCCGCCTGGCAAGGCCAGCAGATGCTGTTACACCAGCATCGTTGTCTTAACTGTCCTGGGCCCTGCTCTCCCCGCAGCGTTAAGGATGGATGATTTTCAGGAGACTTGGGAAAATGACTGTGATTCTGCCAGGGGGGCGGGTGGGGGTCCTGGCACGTGTACGGTGGGCAGCTGCTTTTCTTGACCTCGGGTGTGGATGGAACCCTGGAGGACTCAGGTCGAGAGGTCAGGCACCGGGACCTCACCACCAGCCTGTTGCCACCAGCAGGATCCCGCTGTGTCCTACCCAAGGCTGCACTTGTCCCTGAAGGAGCTGCAGGGCCTCTTCCAACAGCAGCTTCGCGTGGAGATGGCCAGCACCGTCACCGTGGAGTCTGTGGAGAAGGTTCCACTGCTGACCAAGGAGGTCCTGCATGCGGTAAGGGGCTGGCGGGTGGGCCGCTCCGGCCGAGCTAGGCGTCGCCTGCCTGGGCAGGGTCGCGTGGGGGAGGCCGGCTGCACGGCAAACCCCCCCGCCCCCCCTCCCCCGCCACTGAGCCAGGCACTGCCAGGCGTCGGGCTGGGGCCTCGCGGGCTGCGGGGTTGGGTGGGCACGGTGATGACTCCTTGTGTACCCCCTCCCCCCAGCGGAAGACCCTGGCAGACCTGCGCACCCGATGGAGGACGGCGCTGTACCGGGAGCTGCAAGAGACCAAGGAGAGCGAGGCCCACGCTGCTCGAGAAGGCCGCCTCTCACTCTTCCCGTACCTGTGCCTGCTCAGCGAGAAGGAGGTTGTGAAGATGCTGCTGCAGGTGCGCGCGGGGCCGGGGGAAGGGGCTGCTGTGGGTGTGCCTGCGGGTTCTACACGGAGCGCGGGGCTCATGGCGCTCGCTGCCCTCCAGACCCTGCAGGCGCTGCCCGCGCAGGGAGAGTCACTTCTCTTCCTGGCGCACGAGCTGGGTCTGCGCGTCTTCAAGAGGAAGCAGCTCAGAAACGAGGTGCAGGAATTGGAGCAGCGCTACTCCAAGTACCTGCACCTGCTGGCCTCCGACACCCAGGTGAGGCCCAGGGAGCCTGGGTGGGGAGACCCAGGCGTTGAGCAGAGGTCCCCTCCCCTCTCTCCTCTCCCCTTTCCTGAGGCGGCTGGATTTGCTCCCAGACTCCACCTCATTTTCCTCACCTAACCCTGGGATAGCAGTTAGCTCACCCCTCCCTGGGGGTGGGTGGGGGTCTGCAGCTCTGCACCCAGACTCTCGTCACCCTGAGCCACCCTCCCGTTCGCAGGTGGCGGAACCGTGCCTGCCACGGCAGCACTGGGAGGCGCTGGGGGTGCCTGAGGACCCCCACGAGCAGCCCTGGCCCATGTCAGTGGTGGTGCAGCTGGGCAAGCAGCTGGCGGAGGTGCTGGTGCGGGCCGCGCAGATGCCCAGCAGCCTGGCAGCGCCCCGGAGCCCTGGCACACTCATCCCTGTGCTCTACCACGTGTACTCCTTCCGCAGCTTCCGCCAGGTGGGCCACCGTGGGGACAGGCGTGCGAGGAGGCCGCGGGCTCCGGGTGGTGCAGGGCCCCTGGGCCACGGTAGGGTCCTGCCAGAATTCTGCTGTGGCCCCAGACCTGGTCTCAGGGTCAGGGCATCTGAGGGGACCCCAGGGCGCCCCTCCACGGCCTTCGGGGCAGCCCCCGACCTTCTCTGCCTGCCCCGCCCCCAGATCGGGATCCTGAAGCCTCACCCGGCCTTCACGCAGCTGCTGGAGACGGCGGCAGAGCGCACACTGACCTTTGAGTCGACGGACGTGCCCATGCTGTGCCCACCACTGCCCTGGACGTCGCCCCACTCAGGCGCCTTTCTGCTGAGCCCCACCAAGATGATGCGCTCAGTGGAGGGCAGCCAGCAGCACCAGCTCCTGCTGGAGCGCTGCCCGCCTGCCGAGCTGCACGGCGCCCTGGATGCCCTCACCCAGCTGGGCAACTGTGCCTGGCGGGTCAACGGACGCGTGCTGGACCTGGTCCTGGAGCTCTTCACTGACAAGGGCTGCCCTCGCCTGGGTGTGCCCGCCCCGCCCTCCGAGGCCCCCCGGCCACCTGAGGGCCGTCAGCCTCCCAAGCGCTGCTTGCTGCCCGAGGTCTCGCCTGCTGAAAAGGCTGAGATGCGGCGGGAGCTGGCCCGGCGCCTGAAGGTGGCACGGGAGATGCAGAGCCTGCGCGCCGATGCACTGTACCGCCTGTCGCTGGCCCAGCACCTGCGGCACCGCGTCTTCTGGCTGCCGCACAACATGGACTTCCGCGGCCGGACCTATCCCTGCTCACCGCATTTCAACCACCTGGGCAGTGACCTGGCCCGCGCACTGCTGGAGTTTGCCCAGGGCCGCCCACTCGGCCCCCACGGCCTCAACTGGCTCAAGATCCACCTGGTCAACCTCACGGGGCTCAAGAAGCGCGAGTCGCTGCAGGCGCGCCGGGACTACGCGGACCAGCTGATGGAGGACATCCTGGACTCGGCGGACCGGCCCATGGCGGTGGGTGGCGTGGCGAGCACGGCAGCTGGGCCCTGGCCCCTGATCCCTGACCGCCTGGCTCTCCTGCCCACCGCGGCACCCACCTCAGACCCATGCAGGCACCCCCCACCCCCTGCTTCTTCCCAGGCACCCCTCTGCTTGTCTTTCTCTCTGTCCTGGGCCATCAGCAGCCTCCCATGCCGCCCTAGGCCTCCCTCCAGGCCGGCCCCTCCCTGGTCTATCACTCCTGTTCTCTCTCCACGCCTGTCCCCACGACACCTGGACCCACCCAGGAAGTGCCCCCAGGCTGGCTCTGACCCCACCGGGCCTGGCCTCACCCAGCCCGCTGCTTCCTGCAGGGCCGCAAGTGGTGGATGGAGGCGGACGAGCCCTGGCAAGCCCTGGCCTGCTGCATGGAGGTCGCCCGGGCGGTGCGTGCCCCCGACCCCACCGCCTACGTCTCCCACTTCCCGGTTCACCAGGTGAGCTGGGGGACTCTGGTGTGGAGCATGCCCTGCCCTTGTGGGCCCCTGCCAAAGGTGTCTCGCTCGGGCTGAGGTGCCGAGGGATGGCACGGGTGTCTGGCACCTGTCCATCCCACTCTGCACAGGCTGGTCTTCCCACGGTGAGCAGCTTGTGCAGGCACGTCCCCCCCCTGCCCTTTCTGTGCCTCGGTTCCGCTTTGTGGGGTCTGATGCCCGCCGTCGTTGTGGGAGGTCCAGGGAGCTCGCCTTGCCCCACCCCTCGCTCCCTGCGCCTCACTCTTCCACCCCTCGCCCAGGATGGCTCCTGTAACGGCCTGCAGCACTACGCCGCCCTGGGCCGGGACAGCGTGGGGGCCGCCTCCGTCAACCTGTTGCCCTCGGACTTGCCGCAGGACGTGTACAGTGAGGTGGCTGCAAAGGTGCGCACCCACCCCGCCCCCGCTCGCTCTTATCCCCCAGACCCACCCGGGTCTGTCTTTTGAACACTGGGCGCTGTGGACCCCACTGCCACGGCCGCCAACTGTCACGTGACCCGGCAGGCAGGGTTCCTGGGGGACGTGTCAGAGGGGCCAATGGTGAGGTCCACGGGAAGAGAAGGAGCCTCGGGGTGGGGCGCTTCGGGGTGGGCAGGGGGCCCCACCCACTGACCCCTGCTTCAACAGGTGGAGGTGTTCCGCAGGCAGGACGCCGAACAGGGTGTGCGGGTGGCCCAGGTGCTGGAGGGTTTCATCAGCCGCAAGGTGGTCAAGCAGACGGTGATGACCGTAGTGTACGGGGTCACCCGCTACGGGGGCCGCCTGCAGATCGAGAAGCGCCTCCGGGAGATCCACGACTTCCCCCAGGTGCGCGGGGCCGAGACTCCAGATCCTGCCGGCCACTGTCCTGTAGCAGGTGGCCGCTGGGCAGCAGGCAGTCCTGACACAGGGTCTTGTCTCTGCCCACCGTGGGGTCCTCCAGCGGGGCCCATGGGAGCGAGCCCACCCCCTCAGAGTGCGCGAGGTCACTGGCCCAGGGCCATCAGGCGTTGTGGAGGGAACCTGGGCCCCGCCCACGCCCTCCCCTTGCCCTCTCCCCAGGACTTCATGTGGGAGGCTTCTCACTACCTCGTGCGCCAGGTGTTCAACAGCCTGCAGGAGATGTTCTCGGGCACCCGGTCCATCCAGGTGAGGCCTCATCCTCCCCCTGCCCGCCCCCCCGGCCGTGGCTCCCCAGACCCGGCCCCCCTGAGCCCGGTGTCCGTCCCTGCAGCGCTGGCTGACCGAGAGCGCCCGGCTCATCTCCCACACGGGCTCGGCCGTGGAGTGGGTCACGCCCCTGGGCATCCCCATCATCCAGCCCTACCACCGTGACTCCAAGGTCATGGTATGTGCAGCCCCGCCCCCGCCCCCCACCCCCCACC